CCCATATTTGTGTGAAATTTTGAGCTTCAAAAGGGGCATTTGGTCGAACTTCAGTTATTATCGATTTTCACGAAAATAAATCGATATTCAGCCAAACGAAGTATTCAGTGCTTTGCTTCACCATAAGGCCTACCTAACTTTAGAATATGAGCCGAATCGATTTTTTAGCCGTTGTCACCAAATGTTTGACCGTTCTTAAAAATCTTAAAATCGAGCTACAATTGTAGATTGTACAAAACATGGAGCTCTGCATCTAAGGAAAATCAAAAGCTGCGAGATCATAATTTAATTTAATTAATGATAAGTTCTTATGTAGCGCATTAAAATTGAACTCTCATAGAGTGTTTATAAAATATCAGATCGGCGAATACCGTTGCCTTTTGTCCTTTGACAATGGAAACCGGTTTTTAATTACTGATAATGGTCATCATCAGTGTCAATGTTAATGATTTCGCTGTCGCTGTTACATTTCATCATCACTGACTTTATCTTAATTATCACAACTGCTAATGTTTCCATCAGCCTAGTTATCTTAGTGTCATAAATGTTTCTAGAGATTATAATGAAATACCTTTAATGTTCTCTAATATCTTAATAGCGGCTGGAACTGGATCAAGGACACATCGTTCATCTCCCGTTTTTTGAATTTTACCAGTGGTAGGATCCCAGGTAAAATTATTCGGAAGACAAAGAGGAATCGCCTTTTCCATCGATAGTGCTAGGGCTTTCTATCGTTACGAATACAATTTTAAAGACGGAAAACATAGTTAGAACAAAATGGTGGAACTTGTATAAAACAATAAAAGACATAACGAGAAATCCGCGGGGACATTTCGAGCCCGTTGCAATACATCTTCATATACTGTTTCGGCGCCAGTTTGCTTGTAACAAGAGAACCGCCTCTGCCATATTGTCCCAAACTTTTGGCAATAGAGAGAAAGGACAGCACTTCTCGCGTTCATGACATTCAGACCGAGTGCATAGGTCCGTGCGTGATGATTGAGAGCCAGGTATCGTGTTCAGTGCTTGACCGCTGAGTTTTAAAAACTTTGAACATGGGTCACCTTATCAAGGAATGAGATGTTTTAGGTGTTCGGCGCCTCCCAGTTCAGATGTTTCGTAATGAAAATTTTCGATTTAAGAACAATTATGAGTGATCTCTACATGATGCCCTTAAGGAAATACTGACACGTGTTACATGCATGAGGTAGCAATTTTTGGTGCATGAAGATTGGATCAATTTATTCAGCCTCTTTCAAAGAACACAGTTCTGGGTGTCCCTCTTGAGACTGTCCTTGACTTCTAGGAATGAATTCTATTTACAAACCTACCGAGGATGTTTCGATTCGTCTTCTGGCGCGTTTTGGTGGTAATTGGTTGTATTTAGTGCACGGTTCACATTCCTTGGTAATCTGGGCTGGGGAAATTTCATGGCGCAGACCTTTGTTTCCTTTCGTGATTCCCTTTTAAGTAGGTCAAATGAGCAAAGTAAATAACATTTAACGGTGGTTGATAACTCAATTAAACAGGTTTAGATTATTTTATTACATATACTAGCAGCAGGGGAGATCCTTTCTGTGTCCATTAATTTTTTTTTTTTTATTCGCACTATTTCAAGAGGTTACAGTAGAGATTGCTATAGATTACAAAAGTCAGAATATATAAGAACAGTAAATTAAATGAATAATCTAAAGTAAAATGTGCACAGTGACCAATGGAGCGTAAGCTTTCGAGTTGGCCATTGGCACGTGCACTTAACTGGTGTATCTTAACATTTACACAAGACTTACTTTACTTTAATTCTATATATACACTAACCAAGATATTTATACACTGTTAATATTGTAAACAAAGAGAAAAGAGAAATAGCGAAATAAGTACATAAATAAAAAAAATTAAGAGAAGGAAAAAGATTTAAAAATATGAGAAATAAAAAGAAAGAGCGAGGTGATTAATGCTAATTATGTAGGGTAAATAAAGTGAGGTAAGATTTGTTATTTCCTACAGTTCAGGATCAGGAGAACTAAGTTATTTTATCTAGCATCAAACCAGTAGTGAATTCAACTTTGACCAACCAAAAGATGACGCTTCCATTCTTTTTTAAAGGAAGTAAAAGAGAGACGCTTAATTTTAAGCGGCACAGATTCCCATATCCTGGGTCCAGCATACTTGAAATATTGGCATATTTGTATTCAGATAAGCATACTTGAAAGACAAGTCCAAAGTGAATGATAGAGAGTAGCTGGCACATGAACCATCTCTGTAGTCCAAGCTATCTTTTTGCTTAAGAGAAAAAATTACCTTTCCCTGGTGAAATAAAGTACTGATAGGTGAGGTTCTCCATTAAGAATGAGACAAATTTTATCATTTTCTTCATTAATAGTCATGAACGAATGATCTTTTTCAAAACTTGCAGAAATGTTTTATGGTTAATCGCTTGAGAGAAATTATTGTTATAACTTATTTATGTATAATATTTTATGATATATTTTACCTAAGAGGCTCATCGCGATATCTGTTGAATAAAACTTATTAATAAACCCACCGATACTGAACTAGCTCCGCTCGCTGCTCCTGTACCTTTCATGGATACCTTGTGAGATTTAGCACTTTCTTCAGTTTCTTTGCTTATCTGAATCGTGGATACTTCAGTATGAAGACCATCCTTTCTTTCATCTACTTCTCTGCCTCTATATTTCTGTTATAATAATTAACATTCAAACTCGTATTAAGTAATTACCCACTGGAATGGCGGGGTGATCGACAGCTTCATGCAAGTCCCAAAGAATAGGTTTACTATAAAAAAAAAAAAACGCCATTTTATCCCATAACTGACATATTTGTATACAAAAAATCACTCAAAAAAGCTACCGACTTTGATTTCGAGAAATACAGATTATTCTTAACTTGAATAGAGTGATTCCGCTTTATGTGACCGTCTCAAATTCATTAATACAATACACTATCGTTTACGTCGGGAAAGTTTTATGTTCAAAGTTCGAGACTAGAAATACAAAACAATTCCTTCTCTCAGATCGGAGTAAAGCTGTGGAATAAGATACCGAGCTGTATAAGAGATCTCCCAAAGAAAGCTTTCAAAAAAAGTCCTTCGCAAATTGCTATTTGACATCTTAGAAAAAGAAGATAACTATATTCAAATCCCCATGATCATTAAAAAAGTAGCTACATAGATACACCTTCTAAGTTTAATCGTCTTCTTGTCATTTTGTGTGACTCTGTGACCGTGAGACTGTGTAAATAACGACTACTTGTCCTAAGATACTGGACGATTTATGTTATTCAGGTACTTATCTTGCCCCCGCCACGATTAGCTTTCTAGCTATTTGCGGGGCAGACTATCCCGCTCTTATTTTATGAAAAAAGATCAAAGAATAAAAATTGTTATTTGTTATAGATAGAAGACAATGGAAACTGACTGGTAGGACTCAGTAAAGGGTGACCACGACCGCATTTTAAATAGAGGTGACCGCCACTAGAAGTAGACTTTACAGTAACTAAGGAGAAAATTCGGGACTTTCACAACCGACCACTCAATACAGAGTGACCGCTTAATAAAGGTTCGACTGTAATCAAAAAGTAAAAAACGCCCTTCACGATAAGTTATGGCCCAATTACTTTACTAGTCACAATGATCTAATGAAAAAAAAAATTACACAAACTTACATGGCAGTGGTCTTTTTAGAGTACAAAGTGCTAACTGAGAACTTTCTAAAACATGTAGCCTTTGAACTATCTAGGCAAACAAAAGGGTTTAAGAGCTCACGAATGCTTCCCTTATAAAGCGAAAGCGGATAGGCGCTGACGCTTAAAATCTATGCGATGAGACTGAGAGATTATCGTCATCTTGATAGCCTCGCGTTGCCCATGTTCTTTAATAGCAATAATTTTAGAAAATCAAACAGCTATGAAGCCAACCGAATGGAAAGCAATCACGTAGAAAGGATCTAAAGTCACTCAATTGATATCATTTTAAAAGAAATGAGCTGCATTCAACCTATTGACACTTATATCTTCATGTTTGTTCCTTCTAGTGGTATTTGGATGAATCTAGTGCAATTTTCAATCTCTTTGGTAATCTGATTGGAGGAAATTTTAGCGGCCAGGCCACAGTTCCTCTCCTTTCCTTTCAAGTGTCCCTTCTTTCGGGAAAAACGAGTAAGGCAATTCAAAGTTTTATAGTGACTTACAACTCAATTTAACAGCCACAAAGCACACTTATAACTAATACTAACTGCAGAAGTGATCTTTTCAGAGTCCAAAGTGGAAAATGAAGACTTGCATGTATAAGGATCATCTCTATAATCCGGGCTGCAAGCTTGTTTTTGAGACGAAATTATGCCCTCTTGATATAACAAAACGGAATAAACAGTATACTTCTCAATTCATAAGGTACAAGTGAGGAGAAATTTCCTGTCACCCACGTCTTTTAATATTTTGTGTCTCTTGCACTTATAGCGTCACAAGCTGCATCATTCATGTTATAATAGACTACAACGAAACGTCCTCATCGTACAAACATGACTTAATTCTTTTCAAAACCAAAGTGAACGTATTAACTACGGTTCACAGATGATTAGCACAACCATCTGTTTTCACATAAGTCCAGCTACACATTTGCAATTTTCTTTAAAAGGAAAGAACTCCGTGTTGACTGGCCTGCTTCATCCAACGGCATCTGGAGACTTTTCAAAAGTGGCAAACTGTCTTCAAATCAACAGGCAAAAGTGGGAATAGGGTAGTGAAAGCTCTGGAACACTTTAAATAACTGTTTTTCTAAGATCGCTTCAGAACCGATTGTAGTTTTCTTTTTAAAGAAAATGAAATAATTAACTTTGATTTTAAACCTACCGATACTGAGTTAAATTTTCTCCTGCCTCTTGGATCTATCAATGGTACCTGGGATGATTTTGTCCTTTGTTCAGTCTTTTTGGTGACCTGATCACTAGATAGCACAGCGAGCACGCCATTCCTTAATTCCTCTTCTTCCTTGCTTCCGAAGTTCTAAAAAAAAAAAAAGTACTCATTATAAAATCTCGTCAAGGCAACCCAGAACATAACCACTCAACCAATAAATAAAGGCTGATAGTTTCGAAAGAAACTGTTTGGGGCTGCGTCGGTGGGAGTAACGAAATAATTTGGATATATCAACAAAGTTGAAATGGTAAATTGGCCACCGTAATGATTACAAAAGCTGACGTTTCGAGCGTTAGCCCTTCGTCGGAGCGAATAGAGGAATTGTGGGTTGTGTGTGCTTTTAAAGGCAGAAAATGGAGCTACGTTATTGGTGGGTGCATGGCAACGAGAAAAACATGAATAAATTAGTGGAATGAAAAGCGTTCATTGATCCCTGTGGGATTTAGANCACAGGGATCAATGAACGCTTTTCATTCCACTAATTTATTCATGTTTTTCTCGTTGCCATGCACCCACCAATAACGTAGCTCCATTTTCTGCCTTTAAAAGCACACACAACCCACAATTCCTCTATTCGCTCCGACGAAGGGCTAACGCTCGAAACGTCAGCTTTTGTAATCATTACGGTGGCCAATTTACCATTTCAACTTTGTTGATATATCCAAATTATTCCACTCAACCAATAAGCTTGGTCTTAAACGAAACACAGATTTTAGACGGTGCTTACAGGGTCCAACGAGTTAAAACTACAGTTTCTGATTCAGAAAACCACCACGAATGAACAGTATTCCAGATCAGTCTATTTCAGACTAAACGGGTGAATTCCTAAGTTATTTTGGTGAGTTTTCCGCTTATAGGGAATTCTCAGAAACTGTTTATTTCTGCGATTCAGATCGAATAAAACATATCCATCAGCCTACCGCTATTGAGTTCGCTTTTCTCGTTCCTCTTGCACCTCCAGATCCTTTCCATACATGGGGAGATTTACTGCATTGTTCCTTCTCTTTATAATTCTGATCAGTGAAAAGTTCGTCAAGCTGAAGGAGCCATCTTCCATTTCCTGTCTATGAGCACAGTAAGTAAGATTTCAAAATAAATCACAGCCCAATCACAAAAAGAATTAACCTTTTCTAGAACCTGAAAACAATGCTCTAATCACAGAAACTCTGAAAACTCCCTTGCATAGAAAGAGAAGCAGTGAGGAATGACTTTTCAGATTTATGGTTGAAGTCACCCAATTTCGTTACCAATTAAAAAAAAAAACGATTTAGCTGCTATAACCAAACATTTGGCGAGTCGAGATATAGAACATTGTTTACTGACCTCAGTCAGTCGTGGCTTTTAATCCTTTGTGAGCCATTTTCGACCTTTATTTCAAGAAATATATCACTCCCCTGGATGTGAGACTCTGTATAATCCCCGTGATCCCCCACCGGCACGGTACAATGTCGCACAACGATAGACTATTCTGTTCGAAGGATTGCATATTTTTTAGCGAACTTAAAACTGAGAGGTGATAATTTTCCAGCATTCTTCGCTAAAATTGTGGATTAGAAACATAAAGTGTATTTTCACTTTCTTCAGACTTCTGACCGATAATAATATTTTTAAAGATACAGAATGACTAAGACCTTAGGGGAAAAAGGCCAGCACCTGCATTAATCTGGTGGTTGAGTTTAAGAGTTTTCTCTTCATTTAGAAAATTACCCTTTTTTCCCACTTTCGTAGAGTTTCTATTGACAATTCATGATTATTCTGAATGCGAAAAACAAAATTTTTCGTTAAAGAAATTAAGAACTCTTCAGAACGTTACTTCTGTAGTTACCATTATAGGATGAGTTTTATGGAAATTGGTTGCCTCTGACTGTTGTTATTTCTGAAACAGACGTTTCGTTTTCAGTGGTATGAAAAAAAAAAAACCAAGATCGTTATCATATGCTATTTAAAGTTTAAAAAACGTGATGCGAAGCTTGCGTGGGTAACTATGTATTTGATGCACGCGCGAGGTCTTTATAGGCTTCTGGAAGTACGATGTGATCGTTCCCAGCATTTGGATCTAAAGTAGAGCGCCAGGCTTTAAGGAAAAGTCTCTCGTGGTAATTAGATTCGAAACCAACGACCCTGACGTTTGTAAAGTCCATGTTATGGTCGAAAAGGTGGACATGACTTGCGACTTTGGAGTTTAAATCAAAACCTGCCACTGCCTTTTTGTGCTCCCCAATTCTGGTCTAACCGCCTCCCGGTTAGCTCAATTAGTATAGCGCCGGACTGTTGTGCGAGAGATCGAGAGTTCAAATCCGGCCGGACCAACGCTCAGGATCTTTAAATAACTGAGTAAGAATTGCTGCCCTCCTTTGTAATAATTTCTGCAAACGGTTAGACTTTCTAGTCTTCTCGGATAGGGACGATAAATGGAGGTTCCGTCTCACAACCCCTTATATATGATTTAAATTTGTGGGACGTTAAAGAACCCATACACTCCTCGAAAAGAGTAGGGCACGTAGTGCCCGGTGTTGTGGTCTATCTTTGTGCAGTGTCTATCCAGGGTGAATTGGGGGGAGGGATGGTGCCTCGCATGGACCTTGTGTTCCGCTCGCACTAACTTTTCCGGGTCTAGTCACACCCGGTAAAGTTGTTAACAACAATAACAACAACAACAACTTTAATGACCTCTCTGTTTGGCCATAGGACTTTACACTGTGTGCAATTGATTTGTTATTTCCACAAACTTTTGATCTTAATTAACCCAAACATACAGTTTACTTTAGAATTAGAAAACACCAACGGACAAGGCTTGCCTTTTTTAGACACCCTAACAAGTACACGCGGCACAAAAATTTGTGTGGATGTTTACAGAAAACCGACACATACCCACCGTTATCTCGATTTCTTTTCCTGTCATCCTATGTGCCATAAAAGATACGTTGTCAACACCTTACTGAAAAGAGCAAACCACATTCCATCTACCAATAAAGGTAGACGGGAAGAAATACGAGTAAAGGCCGTTTTGCGAGATAACAACTATCCAATGACTTTTATACGGAACTGTGAGAGAGTGTTATTTAAACAACCGCCCAAACGAACTTCAATGGCTTTGTAGTGCTGCCGTATGTACAGGGTGTTTCCGAGAAAATAAGTCGCATATTGCAACAACAAAAGGTCAAAGTAGCCTACAAAGCACAACACACAATCAACAGCCTTTTTCCACGCCCCAAGGATCGAGACGAACCTGACCGCCAGAAATCAGGCATGGTGTACAAAATCAATTGCACACAGTGTAATTTTAAGTACTATGGCCAAACAGAAAGGTCATTAAAGACCAAAAACAAAAATTAGCTTTAATAGCTAACACAATCACTGGTAACCCAGTAGTTTACATTGAGGGCTATAAACAAATAATTCAAATTGAACATAACATTGTTAAGAATCCCAACTGGCCGGAGGCAAACCAGTTGGCTATTTACAAGCATGGCCGAGGATTTGAACTCGGAGCCACCGTGAAACAAATTCAGGTAGTGGTCAGGGCGGGACTCGAACCCGAGAGCGACGGATTGCGAGTCCGACACGCTGACTACTCGGCCACGCTGCCTCCAGCTGAAGAGTTGCGGAGCATAAAAACCGCCGCAGTTGCAGGTTTTGACTTAAACTCCAAAGTCGCAAGTCATGTCCACCTTTTAGACCATAACATGGACTTTACAAACGTCAGGGTCGTTGGTTTCGAATCTAATTTCCACGAGAGACTTTTCCTTGAAGCCTGGCACTCTACTTTGGATCTGAATGCTGGGAACGATCACATCGTACTTCCAGAAGCCTATAAAGACCTCACGCGTGCATCAAATACATAGTTACCCGCGCAAGCTTCGCGTCACCTTTTTGTTTTCTTTTTTTTTAACTTTAAATAGAGTATGATAACGATCTTGGTTTTTTTTTTTTTTCATATCACTGATGAAGGCTTAAGCATTAGCCGAAACGTCTGTTTCAGAAATAACAACAGTCAGAGGCAACCAATTTCCATAAAACTCATGACCTCTCCTGACTACACTTTTTTCCATTTTTCTTTTTAACACATTACAGTCTGACTTTCGATACTCTAGAGTTAACTACAAAACTACTCAGATATCAGGAATCTACTGATGCCTTTATATAAGCCTATGAAGTCCGCCGGTAATTACTGATCTTTCATCAAATTTGAGGTGGTTGAGATGTCAAACCACAAATGATGATCAATTTGAGAGAATTTCTTAATAATGATCTGGCATGGAAATTTTCTACCCTGAATACTTTAACGCGAGGCCATTGGGGCCGTTGAAATTCTCTACTGACTTCCGGCTACTTATTGGTGACCGCATCGATTGCTTGACTACACATCCAAGTGAGGCTTTCAAAGTTGCTTCAAACACAATTTTCTGTTTTCAGGAAAACTGGATAAACTGATTTTATTGACCTACCGCTGGCGAGTTGGACGCGTCCATTCCTCTTCCAGTTGTCTGCGATTCTCTGCAGGATTTCGCGTTTTCTTCGCTCTCTTTAGAGCTTAGACTCGTAGAAACTGTAGTGGGAAGATAATTACTTTCGTGACTTAGAAAAGGCGTGCTTCTACACTTCTAGAAAAACCAAAAGTAAGAAATAACAGAAAATGCAATTAATTTTGCATGATAACTCCCGCAAGGAAAGACTTATGCACACTAATTTTCTTAGCAGAAATCTTTACACTTACCGTTCCTTTGGGTGAGAATAGAGAGCGTGGCCGCCTTGAGTTAGACAATTGACGCCTTTTATCCGATGAAGTGTTGCTCTGTTTCTTTTTCTCTTGCTCTTGCTGGTATGATTCTAATGACAAGGAGATGGCTTTTCGCACAGCTTCCTCTTCATCCTCTGTCTGGTACAGGTACATTTTAGAGCGCTGGGAAAGAATGAAAATAATCATATTAAAGTCCACTGACGTTGTATTTCTGTTTTCGTTTTGTTGTTGTTTTATTTTCTCTTTCCTCAGTGCATACATTGCAAAGAACATGCTAGCTGACCTCCTCGATTAGGCCCTGTCCGGCATACGTATTCGGGTATTTCGAATCCGTAACCTTCTCGATTAGCATTAAAAAAAATTTACGTCCACACGTATTGCATTCGAATCGTTTTATCCGTCCACACGTATCCTTACGTATTCGCATATCTCAATGCTTCCTTCGACAAAGTATGCAGCATTTGGGTTTGCTTACTTGAAGTTTCAACATGCGTCGCTTGAAAGTCCTGAGGATTGGCGTGGCTATATAACTACGAGAAAAGGTGCCATAGTCAGAAGAGTCTTTTATTTGGACGGATGTTGAGGTTGAGTTATTGCTTAAAATCACGAAGCGGTCAAGAACAACGGAAATGTTAGCTGGGAATCGCGTCAGACAAATTACACTGATATTTTGAACCACTTTCTTGAGCAAGATGCTGCGCCAGAAGATGCCCTGTCCGTTGGCAAGGATTATCTGCGCGGACTGTATCTCGGATAACGTTACGTAAGCGCATTCAATAAAAGGCAGTCTATGACTGCATGTTTATCCTGTTGTGTGGTTGTAGAGTATTGCAGTAGAAAAGCAATGTGGTGTTGAATACAAGAGGAGTTAATGAACAGCTCTTACTGATGCCAAACCCTAATCTCCGAAAAAACAAAAATGGATCCGAAGAAACCTTATCAGATTTGTTCAACGATGGCCAGTGTCAGAACTGAACCGGGACGAGTCACAAGACTTGTCTTGCAATAGTCCGCCATTTAGAAAACCGTGAGGGGCTTGGGGGGCAAGGTTTACCGAATTACACGACACCATAACATAGTGCTTATGGTCTTCCAGAGGGAAGGCACAGTTGACACAAAAATGGATTGGACCGTCCACACGACTCCGCACTCAAAACGTATTTAAAAAACTCACCCTGGGAAGCGCTTTCTGAGAAAAGTTACGAATTCATCAACCTTCTTCACCGGCTACGGGTAGACGGATGGCCAATCCGCAACGGAAAAGTGGCAGATTCAAAAATCATGATCAGGATAAGTGTGTATGGGGCCTAAGTTTATACATGCACTAAACTCATACATACAGAAGATTTGTCTGCTTATAATACCAAGGAAAGGGTGTAAGAAGATAAATGAACTTTGCGTTCTTGTATTCCGGACATCGGGCCAAGTGATACCAACCGACAAATAGTTTCTTCTGTTCATCATGATCACTTTCGGCGATGAAAAGTAGAAGTTTTGTAACTAAATGATGAATAGCTTATCAGGAACACTTTCCGTCCGGCTTTAATCTGAAAAAGATGTGTTAAAAGCATACGTCTCAGTTAAAAAATATATATTTAAAAAATCTAAAGTCAGCATTATCACATGTTATCAAGTTTACCGGCTCACAGACACTGACACAGACTCCCTCCATGCTGTGAAGTTAACCGTTGCCATGAATGTTCATGAAAAGTAAATGACTCAGTTTTGAATAGGTGATAAAAAAAAGCCTGAAGTATTAAAAAAAAGGTGATTGTGAACTTTAAATCAAGAACGCAACTACATTGTAGGGAAATTTGCTAAGGAAGTTCATTCCTTACTTCTTACCTTTCAAATCCAATCATATGTTTCCGCTTTGAATAATAGTCTATCCTCTTATCGATTATATAGTGGCTCCTATTTATAGACTTTGGATAGAGGGTCTAGTAAGCTTCACTAGAGTAGTTAGCTCAGTTCAGAGGAAATGATGTTTAGTGTTTCGCTGCACATTGATCTATTCATCTTATCTGCAGCTACATGAATTTAGCCGCGACCCTAACAACTGCGTGTGACATGCCTCATGCGTAACATGCTCCCTGCGTGACATGCTTCACGTATGATGCGTTCAGTAGGTTGCTTTTAGCGTGGAAGCCGTCTTGGCTCATTTAACCCAAACGTTTTAGCTTAAACTTAAAGTGAGGTACCTCTCCATAGCATAACTTCCTGAGTAGTGTTTGTTTAACTTATTCAACTAAAGGTATCTGCTAAGTGCGAGCACTACTTTTATTTTTTTTTTTAGATTTTTCAGGAAAGTTCTCGATATTGCACAGGAACACGTGAAGGCGTGCGGTAGTCAATCCAAATAATTATTGTTGTTTGATCATTAAGTCCGATTGATGAATGATTTTGATTCCGTAAATATAAAATGTTTACCCGTAGAGTCGAGATCTAACATTGTTCTAGAAACTTCGATAGTAACAGCATAAATATTTACGGTTGTATGATCTTATTTAACTAAACAATCTGTAACATTGTTCGCATAGTTTCAATTCTATCGTTTAGAGATTGTAAATTTGAGCTTCACGGAAGGCAAAGTGTATGTTATTTCTTTTATTTAGTTGCTTTCACTTGTGAATTCTTAATTTTCCTTTTCTCGGTGACTTTCGTCTAGCTCGAAGTTCATTTTAATTTGATGTTGTCGCGATTTTTGATGTAAGTTAGTCCGACCTATCTTTCACTTTAGATCCCACGGTTTTTCTATTTGGAGTTTAATCGAGATATGATCACTGTGTGTTCGTCATGCCACGCTTTTTGGATCAAGTTTAATGACGATTAGTTTAAATTTGTAAATGTGTTCGAATATCACTGGGACAAGAGTATTCCAATGTAAGATAACTTATAAAAATCACTCAAGTGTTGCATGTTATCATCATATAATGGTGGAATGGACTCGGTTTTATGCGTAGCGACTCTTACAACGATCACCAAGCAATTCTTTTCGTATTAATAACAACTGTTAATCTTTTACTCAAACCAATTTTCGTTGTAACGCCGTTATCCAAAAGCCAAGTTGTCGTTAATGTTGCTAAACGCAAGGCTACAGTAAGTATACTTCAGTTCCTGTCTGCATTAGCCTAATACAGTGGTTCCCTAAAGATTTGGATTACTTTCAATTACTCCGTCATAGAATGACCAAAACTCTACGAAATCATTATTGTGCACTAGTACGAAGTTGGAGTATTAATCACTAGGAGAGGGCTTTCAGTTTAAGAAAAGTAAATTTATTGCCTACGATGAATGTAAATTTTGCTCTCTTTTGTTGACTTTGATTTTTTTTTTTCTCGGAAATACAGAAACCGGTTTCGGAGAAAATAAGTGAATTCATACTCTTCCCCTTGGCTAAATCTGAAAACATAAAAAACTCTCTGAATCTGGTTCTTAAATAGTCTCAGGTCGCGTTTGTAGAGCCTATCAATCTACAACACCATTTCGAATTACGCTATGCCGAAACTGCGAGCTCCGACTACTCGGTTCTAACAAGCATTCACTATAGGTTTTGTACAAAGTATACTCATCTTATGACTGATGCATTTTTTTACTCCTTATCACTGAAAATTCTGCTATCTTGTCAGTGCTTTTTTATATTTGGCAGATTCGCTTAACTTCCGCTAGGTTTGTGTCAGATGTTTCGGGCTTAATCAGGTTAAACAAAACGAACCTAATAAATTCTGATTTGTTTTGGTTTTCATGGTATTTGTTAGGTTAAACGCTTGGCTTCACTAACTAACATTTGCATCAGTCAGCCTACCACATTTCTAAAAATCTCGTCCACAAACCTTTAGCGAGAGTTTCAACGATGAAAAATGTTCACAGCGCTCGGTGAGCTTGAATACGATCCACGGTGACTAACCGCTGTTAGCTTTCCTTCACTAGATCTGGATCTACCAGAGGCTTCTGGGTATTTTACACAATCTTACAAATTTGGTATTTGTTTACCTCTGGGTTACAAGAGCCAAACAAAAAGTTTCAAGACGACCTATACTTTTCGCTGTCAACGAAATCTTAATAATTTCGAATAAAATACAATTTGATTTATGAAAATTAGTTGACTTCATACTTAGAAGCGGGCCCCAGTGTTATCCCTTGCCAAGTAAGTGCTGAAGTGGTCATTAGCATCTAGCCTAAAGTTAATCGTTCCCCTCGAAATAAAGCTTATTAATTTTGAAATTATCGGACACTGTTGACGACTGCACTGTTGAATCATTTTATCAAAAGCGTTACAATGCCAGCATTTCCACAACAATCGAGGCGAAATTTGTCAAAGTCAGAAGCAAACAATTATGTATAATTTCCGAGAAACAACAAAACAAAAAATTGTTAGGGAGAACAACAGCTGATCTCATCTTTCTAAGAAAACTGAGAAAGTGAGAATTAATCATGACTCGGTTTAAAATAATTTCAAGTGTTTACAATAGTAATTGTGAGGCCAGTGTCTGTTGTGGTGACTAAAAACTGTATTCTTTAAACAGATGAATAAGCCCTATGCAGTGGCATTGACTCAAGCAAATTAAGTTGTTACAGCAGTAGAAGCATAGCAAGTCAGAGAATTTTACTTTCTTTCCTTTTTTGCCAGGTAACTGGATTTAAACTAACGTAAATGCATCAAGTATATCTGGATTTTCGATAAACTCACCGGTGAAAGGTAAATATTCTATGACCCATCGACGCCCAAGGGAGCCAGGCAAGGGCATTGACAAGTATCTTAGACGCCAAAGGAAACGTACGAAATGCGCTGATGCCTGCTGAACTATAGTTCTTCCCATCAGTTCTTTTATTTTGCCTCTTTCCCTATCGGACATTCCTGTGTCGCGAAATTCTCGATGTTGATGGCCATGACGGTTGGTGAATGAGTGAGCTTGAAACAGATTTCATACTCTCTAACAATAGTGATCCATAATAAAAGATTCTCTTAAATTCTTTATTTTCAAACATTATGTATAACTATCAAAGAGTCCAGTTTCAGAGGAATCCGTTGCCTCATTTTATTGTGATAGTACTAAAATACCATAATAATCGCATTCGTTTGCCTAATATATAATGTTTTATCCTTGACAAATAATCCCCTGTCGTATTCCAATCCTAAATTCGTTGTATGGTAGGTAAGTTTCCTCATCTTCTTTGTTTTAATAGGAAATTTGTCCTAAAAAAAACTACGAAAAAAAAAACACAAATTTCTCTCATAATGTTAAATTAATATTTAGTGCTCATGACTGATACCAATAGCTTCACCTGATCTGGTGAAGTGTTCTACTTGAATAACTTCTTTTTGAAGCTCATGTAGAACCTTTGCAGCGGTTCCCCGAAAAGTTATTCTTTTCTCTCCCGCACTTCAGATCCACTACTGAGTCGTAGCTTTGAATTCAACTCAGAACTAAACGATTCTCGAAGTTTACTCAGTTCACTTGGAACCAACAGCAAACCAACTGTAAGTCAGTAATTTTGGATTTCCCAAAGCAGAATCGTCCCTGCCGACACTTTCCGTCATCAGTGAATTACACTTGATGGTCAAAGCTTCGGTAGGTTCTTGTCCTAGAAAGTTTGATCGGACCTTCTTCAACTTTTTTCGCGAAATCGGAGTATCACCCTTGAAGTATAAGACTGATGACGTCTCTTTGGTTCCAAAAGACATTGTTTTTGGATTAAAGGAATTTCTTCCGCCGAGTTCCTGTCTCAAAGAACTCAGTCTTTCCTTTCGTGGCTCACATTTCCTAACGCCGCTGAACGCAGGTGAAAGCTGGACCGTAGCTCCCTCTCTCTTGCCATCCTTAGCCTCATCAAATTTCTTACTTATATCACTGGTAGTTTCCGTTAAATGTCTCAAAATGTTCGACTTCATGACAAGTGAGCCACCTGAAATTGAAGGAAGCGTTTTTCCACGGACGACACTTTCACTTTCATCTATGTTCCCAGCCAGTTCGTCATTATCCCTGGAGGAAAACTCCTGCCTAAGCATTTGACCTTTAGGTATTTCCTGCACACTTCCGCCTTTTAAACTCGCATCATGAAGTCTATTGTGTTCACACGGTGGAGATGTTCAATCTTTCTTAACCCTTTTACCGTTTAACATAGCTGCACGTACATCAAACAAGCTCTCCTCTACTTGACTAGTAGTTTGGGATCTCATTCTATGAATATTTTGATGCTCTCCTATTGGCCTCATTGCTAACGACTTCGTATGAAAGCTCTTTACGCAGACATCATTACAGCGTCCACCTCGGGATTCAGTGAGGGATTCAGAGAGGGATTCAGGTCCCTCAGTGCCCTTGGTCTGGGTTTCTCTTGGTAGATCCATCAATTTAGAACTTCTTACTGCACTTCGTTCTGCCTTTACTGCTAAATGAGCGTCTAATTTGCCTTTTTCGGGAATCTCTGATACTGCCGATTTTTTTCGAGACCGATAAGCTTCAGAGTTAACGTTACACTGCTGGGTGCTACCGAACGCTGTTACCTCGCTGTTATCACGGGTATCTGCTATCGCAACTGATGAGCCTGCTTCCCCCTTTGTCACTGAATGAGTATCCAATTGACGTTTCTCAACGAGTTCTGACGTCACGAAGTTTCTTCGGGAACCGCATTCCACAGCATTCAGGCTACAATGCAAGGTGTAATCCTCAAGTTTATTACCGAACTCTGTGGCTTTACTAGTGTCTCGGGTATCTGCTACATCAGCAGATGGACTTGCCTCTACCTCAACGACAGAGTGAGCTTTCAGTTGGCTTTCCTCGGTGACCTCAGGTGTAACATAGTTTTCTCCAGACCTGCTTGCCTCAGCATTTACGCTACAGTGCAAGTTGTTGCCCTTGAGATTGCTACCGAACTCTTTTCCTTCACTAGTGTCTCGGGTGACTGCTACCTCAACAGATTGACTTGCTTCCACCTTTGCCGCTGAATGAGCCCTCCGTCGGCGTTTCTCAGCGAACTCAGATGTCAGCGAGTTTTTTCCAGACCCACACGGTTCAGCATTTGCGCCACAGTAGAAGGTGTTACTCTTGATTTTGCTACCGAACTCATTTATTTCACTAGTATCTTGGGTATCTGCTATCTCAGCAGAGGAACTTACCTCCACTTTTACCACTGAGTGAGCTCTCGGTCGACGTACCTCAGTGAGCTCAGATGCAAGCGATTTTTTTCGAGACCCACACGGTTCAGTATTTACGCTGCAGTGCAAGGTGTTACTTTCGACGTTGCTACCTAACCCCGCTACTTTACTGGTGTGTCGAGTATCTACAACCTCACTTGATGAACTTGCTAACGCTAACGCTATCGCCACTGAGTGAGTGTTCGGTGGATGTTTCTCGGTGAGTTCGGATGTCACCAATTTTCTTCTAGATCTGCATGCCTCAGTATTTGCGCTACCTTGCAAGGTTTCATCCATGAAGTTGCTACCGACCTCTCTTCCTTTACTAATTTCGCGGGAATCTGCTTAATTTGCAGAAGTTGTAGTTGTCGCAGAAAGTTGCACTCCCTTTTCCTTCCTAACATGTTCTCGTTTCCCTTTAAATGGTTCATCAAGTGATTGCGGTCGATCGTGACTGGAATCTTTCGAATGATGAGCTTCCTGCATGTTTTTCTTTAAAGAGACTGCTTTGATTGTTGTTGCACTTTGCAACGATGGAATCAGTGTCGCGCTTTCCCTAACTGTTGCTGTGTTTTCAAAGACTGTCTTCACCACACCTATTACGGAAAAGCTGTTATGTTCAGCCAGATTTCCTTCACCTGAAACGCTGAGCTCTTCCTTAACCTTTTCCCTTAATCCTCTCATCGAGTTTTTTTAGCTTTCCCATTCCATGTAGCACTTTAGACCAGTCCTTCTTCAAGTATTTAGAGGATGTCGTAAGAAGTCTGTCAAAAGTCTCCTCATTCAAGACACTGTGCTTCCTTCCACGTCTAATTGATGTCTTATCTTTCGAGGCAGTGTCATAAGTTTTCCATGTATAGTTTTGGACTCTCTCTAAATCTCTTGCTATTGCTCTGGTCAAGGCAACCTCCTTTGCCCAGGTGGGACGTGAATACCTTCGAGACCGTCGTCGAATGTCGCGATCCAACTCTAATTGTTTCGCAATTTGGTAGCCATATTGCTCAACCTCTCTTTCCCTTCGAGTCTGCGCTTAATTTGAAAACATTCTCAAAGTATCTTTCAAGCCGCCTGTTAGATGAACACTTCTGAGCCTTTCATTCGCTTTAGATAAGGAACGTCTTCGCATCACATAGATTTCTGAGTTTCTCACGGTGCTTAAACTGGGTTGAGCCCCTGAAGTACCCCTGGTCCTTACTCTTTGGGTCGCGTTTTGTATGCTACCAAGGTGAACTTCGCACCAATCAGGAAAGGCTCCGTCCAAAACTTCTGAAGTCAGTCCCCCTCCGGAATTCTCAATGGTCGAGAGGTACTCATGTACACTGCAGAAGTTCGGCCGATCTACAGCGTCATTGAAGCATTTTTTCATGACAGACTCAATTTCTCCCGGCCAGATTTCCAGCATAGGAAGGGTCATACGATCCCGACAGAGAGCTTGTTTTAAAGTGATTCCCGTCAGCCATGACCATGGAACCTTTCTAGCCAATGTCTCCCACATTGGAGCGCCAAAACTGAAGCAAAACAGTGAACAGCATAAGATAGCTCAATAAATATATTATCTACATGCCGTGTCAGCCAACGTTCCAGTTTTCTTGTCATTTTCAAATTTTCTCGTGTTTGCACCTCCTTTATTACAACCACTATCAGAAAATGTAAGACACTATGGATAAAACATTTTTCTCGAGTCTCAAGTAAGAAATCCATCGCATATGAAAAAAAATATATATTGTTCCTCTTTCCTATTCAATCTTGTGCATTTAACTAAGTGTCGTTCATTTTAAATAGCTTCACTGGCAACTGTCTTTAGCTTGGCAATGATACGCTAATGATAAAAAATTACAGACTCTGTATAATATAAGACCTCTCACTATTTTTTAGTCAAGGTGTTGTCACTTTCGGCACTACGGAGTATAGGGGAAGCGTAAGTGAACGAGTTACTATAATCAGCGGATCTCTGAGTTTTTTTTTTTTTTTCAGAATATTTGTTTTCAATAAGGTGTATGTCACATTTTTATATTCACATAGAGTAATTTTTCAATTGAATATCGAGATTAATCAGGATTTGCGTTGCCCTTATAGTACAACGCTTTGTGACTGGCTGAGAAAACCCGCTCACCCTCTAAACAAACCAACTCTTAAACGGATTTTCAAGCGTGACAGACTTTTTCGTTGGTCACAAGGAATTAAATGGTTTTCGTCTTTCGCGTACTCTTTATGCGATCGATGCACAGATGTATTAAGCAAACTAAAATTAAAGCACGGAATAGTTATGGAATAATAAATCCCTTATTCTGTGGTTTGACAAGTACAACGAGTGGACATTTTCCTCATCGCTCGAATTTTTTCTCTCCCTTTTCGGGGCTCGGAAAAATACCACGCAACTCGTAAATTATCTGCGCGTGATGTATTTCAACCATTTCATGACATGTATTTGCAGGAATGTTCGTCGATAGCGCAAAGGTTTACACGCACCTAGGTGGGGAACTTGTTGCTTGGTCTCGAAAGAAGAGAAAAGGATGAATCCTGTCAGTGATAAGGCGAGATGGATGAAACGGTTTACTCGGCAGTCAGCTATGTTCGAGTACAGTGCTGTCTTGAATGAATCTCACTAGCCTCGCAGATGTTTTAATTTTGATATCGATTCCATCCCCGCCCTTCCCCTGCTTATCAAACTTACCTAGACGATGAATTTCCATCGGCCAAATGTTTTTCTTTTCCCGTTCGATTGTTTAGTTTACGCCAAAATTATGTGGCAATTGTAGGGAGACAAGTAAGAGACAGGCAGCGAAAGCTTTGCTGCAAAGGAATGCCGGAGACTGTTCGCACACTTTGGTTCAGTAAAGTGTATTTCTTTATTGGAGAACTGTTGTAGAAGTTTGACAACCGATATCTGTGGCAAATATGCAGAAGCTAAACTGGAATGGACTGCAATGATGCATATTGCCATGGTCTTTCGAGCTTAACGGATCTCTATTATTATTGTTCTTTTCAATTGCCTTCTCGTCACTCATACACTTTGCATCAAAACTATTCTTAACAGGCCAGAATCAGACCAAAAGAACAACTTGAGTCTCTCATGCAATCAAAAACTGCATTACACTCGTTGAGAACCAAAGGGTAGACGTACCAACTGGGTTTTCGCACTGGCGATGTGATCTATCTCTACTCCTTTGTTAAAATTAATTCATTTTTTTTTTCTATAATTATTATTATTATTATCTACCCCCTTTGGTCAAGCACGTGTTCCAAGGGATTCATTGCGCAATACAGTCCCTCTAATGCCAAGCTCTAGGAGTTTCGTGTTTTATTTCACGTCAGTGTTCACATCGAGCGGACACCAGAGATTTTGTATTGTGCTGTTTCAATTTCCTTTTCACCCACCCTCCCACCCTGGGTCATGTTAAAAAGGGTGGCAGACAGATTTGTTAGGCATATCGTCGGCTGTTGTTTAATTTTCGTTCGTATTCTTAATAAACTTCTCTCTGTGCCACAAAGCGAATTGTGTTTTATTTGTGTAAGGGGATGTAGTTGGGGAATTTTGAGGGAAAGAATTATATATGACATCTACAAGAAGATCAACATCATAGGAAAGTAAGTTATTGTGATGTTTATTTTGCTATCTCTAACATTCAGACGTCCAGAACAACTCGGCATAACTACGTGATCATACAAATTAGGGGGTTTACAGCGAAATCAAGGAAATAAGTGGCTCCTTGTGTCGAGTTAACATACGTGGGTAAAAGCCAACACGTTTCTGCTGAGCAGAATAATTGATTAAAATCTTATCCACTCTCCGACTTTGTTATCATGTTCTAGTTTTTTTCATTCCTAAAAACAATCCCCTTTAATAAAAAAAAAACATGAGATCATGATTAACCAATTGAGAATCATAGCAACCTACCATCAAGTGTTCAGTTATCACTGAGTGCCGATATTTTTTTTGATGAGTTTCGTAAGTATGTAACACCTAGATGTATCACTTTTCACTAACAACTTTTTCCTGGACCGTCGAACGTGTTGACAAACAAATCTTTTTCAGAATCAGCGAGACTCTAAAGATCAAACTTTTGCCTTACACTTGAAAAAAGTTTCCATACACATGCATTATCCAATGGCGAAAACGCGTTAAAACTGACTACTAGTTCTGGGCACATAACGTAGTGGCTAGAAAACAAGGTGTACTGCATGTACCTGCAAGGGTTCAAATTCAAACCAAGTACGAACAACTAAAGTGGTAAGAACCAATACTGCACTGACTAAAATATTTTACCAAAAGCCCGTGAAGTAAATCCTGGCCTTTTAGCCTTGATTAGATCTTTAGATAAAGATTGGATCTGATCTCTCATTAATGCAGCCTCCCGCCTATGTTCCTGCAATAATTGTATCGTATCGTTTAAAACCTGTATGGTCTGACCTTCCGCCTACCTTGCGAGGGTCATTTGCTCAAGAAGTTCCTCGTACGTTTTTGTGTTTGCTTTCCCCATCTCTCGAATCTCTCCACTCATAGCTTCAAGATCAGCTTTAAACTGTGCGTCTTTCTGATCAGACAGCAGCTTCATCGCTTGGATGGCTTCGTTAGCTTCTTTCTCCCTCTCGACAGCATCTTCCAGTTGTATTTTTACAGTTTCAATGATGAAAATTAGTTGACTTCATATTTAGAAGTGAGCCCAATGTTAGCCCTTTCCCATGAAGTGCTGAAGTGGTCGAAAGCACCTAGTTTCCTATTTTAAAACCATGGTATGCTGTTGACGATTAGGCTGTTGAATCATTCATCAAAAATATTACAAAGCCAGCATTTCCACAACAACCGCCGCGAAATTTGTCAGAGTCAGAAGTAAACAATAAAGTGCAATTTCCGAGAAACAACACAACAAAAAATTATAAGGGAAAACAATGGCAAGAAAACTAACAAGAAAACTAACAAAGTCAGAATTAATTATGACTCGGTTTAAAGCATTCTTAGTGTTTCCAATAGTAATTGTGAGTCCAGTGTCTGTTATGGTAACCAAAATGGGTATTCTTTAAACAACTGAAAAAGCTCTATGTAGTGGCATTGACTCAAGCAAATGAAGTTGCTCTGGCAGTACGTAGAAGCGTAGCAAGTCATAGAAATTTATTTTCTTTCCTTTTTTAACTCGTCAGCGGATTTAAACTAACGTGAATGCATCAAAATATATCTGGATTTTCGATATACTCACCCGTGAAAGGTGAGTATATCTTCTATGATGCATCGACGCCCAAGGGAGTCAGGTACGTGCGTTGACAGGTATCTTATACGTCAAAAAAGACGCACGAAATGTACTGATGCGTGCAGAACTATTTGTTCTTCCCTTTATTTATTTTTTTTTGCCACTTCCCCTTTGTACATTCTTATGTCACGAAATTCTCGATGTTGATGGCCATGACAGTACTGATCCCTGATGAAAGATCCTCTAAATTCTTTATTTTCAGATATGATATGACTATCAAAGAGTCTGGTTTTAGAGGAATCCGTTGCCTCATTTTATTATGGTGGTATTAAAAAACCATAATAATCGTATTAATTTGCCTATTATATAATATTTTATCCTTGACAAATGATACCTCGTCGTATCCTAATCCTAAATTCGTTGCATAGTAAGTAAGTTTCCTCAGCTTCTGTGTTTTAATAGGAAATTTGTTCTAAAATTTCTCTTAGAATGTAGTTTCCTTTTCTAAAGGAAATTAATAGTTAGTACTCATGATTGATACCAATAGCTACACCTAATCTAGGGAATGTTCTTAACAACATTACGGAATAACTTCTTTTTGAAGCTCATGTAGAACCTTTGCAGTGGTTCGCCGAAAAGTTATTCTTTTCTCTCCCGCACTTCAGATCCACTGCTGAGTCGTAGCTTTGCATTCAGCTCAGAACTAAACGATTCTCGGCGAAGTTTACTCAGTTCACTTGAACCAACCGCAAACCGACTATAAGTCAGTAAGTTCGGATTTCCAAAAGCAGAATCGTCCCTGCCGACACTTTCCAGCATCAATGAATTACACTTCATTGTCAAACCTTCGGTGGGTTCTTGTCCTAGAGAGTTTGATCGGACCTTCTTCAACTTTCTTCGCGAAATCAGGGTATCGCCCTCGAGGGATAAGACTGACGACGTCTCTTCGGTTCCAAAAGACATTGTTTTTGGATTTAAGGAATTTCTTCCGCTGAGTTCCCGTCTCAAAGAACTCAGTCTTTTCCTTCGTGGCTCACACCGCTTAACACCGTTGAACACATGTGAAAGCTGGATCGCAGCTCCCTTTCTTTTGCCATCCTTAGCTTCGTCAGTGACCTTGGTCTGGGTTTCTCTGGGTAGATCCATCAATTTATAACTTCTTACTGCACTTGGTTCTTCCTTTACCTCTAAATGAGCCTCTAATTTGCATTTCTTAGGAATCTCTGATACTGCCGATTTTTTTCGAGACCGATAAGTCTCAGAGTTAACGTTACACTGCTGGGTGCTACCGAACGCTGTTATCTCAGTGTTATCATGGATATCTGCTATCGCAGCTGTTGAGCCTGCTTCCCCCTTTGTCACTGAATGAGTATTCAGTTGACGTTTCTCAACGAGTTCTGACGTCATGAAGTTTCTTCGGGAACCGCATTCCGCCGCATTCAGGCTACAATGCAAGGTGTAACCCTCGAGTTTATTACCGAACTCTGTAGCTTTACTAGTGTCTCTGGTGTCTGCTACACAAGCAGATGGACTTGCCTCTACCTCAGTCACGGAGTGGGCTCTCAGTTGGCTTTCCTCGGTGACCTCAGGTGTAACATAGTTTTCTCCAGACCTGCTTGCCTCAGCATTTACGCTACAGTGCAAGTTGTTACCCTTGAGATTGCTACCAAACTCTTTTCCTTCACTAGTGTCTCGGGTGACTGCTACCTCAAAAGATTGACTTGCCTCCGCCTTTGCTGCTGAATGAGCCCTCGGTCGGCGTTTCTCAGTGAACTCAGATGTCAGCGAGTTTTTTCGAGACCCACACGGTTCAGCATTTACGCCACAGTAGAAGGTGTTACTCTTGATTTTGCTACCGAACTCTTTTACTTCACTAGTATCTTGGGTATCTGCTATCTCAGCAGATGGACTTACCTCCACTTTTACCACTGAATGAGCTCTCGGTCGACGTTTCTCAGTGAGCTCAGATGTCAGCGATTTTTTTCGGGATCCACACGGTTCAGTATTTACGCTGCAGTGCAAGGTGTTACTTTCGACGTTGCTACCTAACCCCGCTACTTTACTGGTGTCTCGAGTATCTGCAACCTCAGTTGATGAACTTTCTAACGCTGAGTGAGTGTTTGGTGTGTGTTTCTCGGTGAGTTCGGATGACACCAATTTTCTTCTAGATCTGCATGCCTCAGCATCTTCTCTAACCTGCAACGTGTCATCCATGAAGTTCCTGCCGACCTCCGCTCCTTTACTGGTTTCGCGGGAATCTTCTTTACTTGCAGAAGTTGTAGTTGTTGCAGAAAGTTGCACTGCCTTTTCCTTCCTATCACGTTCGCGTTTACCTTTAAATGGCTCATCGAGTGATTGCGGTCGATCATGACTGGAATCTTTCAAATGATGAGCTTCCTGCATGTTTTTCTTTAAAGAGACTGCCTTGACTGTTGTCTCATTTTCCAACGATGGAAACAGTGTCGCGCTTTCCCTAACTGTTGCTATGTTTTCAAAGACTGTCTTCACCACACCTGTTTCGGAAAAGCTGTTATATTCAACCAGATTGCCCTTACCCGAAACGCTGAGCTCTTCCTTAACCTTTTCCCTTAATCCTCTCATCGAGTTCTTTAGCTTTCCCATTCCATGTAGCACTTTAGACCAGTCCTTCTTCAAGTATTTAGAGGATGTCATAAGAAGTCTGTCAAAAGTCTCCTCATTCAAGACACTGTGCTTCCTTCCACGTCTAATTGATGTCTTATCTTTCGAGGCAGTGTCATAAGTTTTCCATGTAGAGTTTTGGACTCTCTCTAAATCTCTTGCTATTGCTCTGGTCAAGGCAACCTCCTTTGCCCAGGTGGGACGTGAATACCTTCGAGACCGTCGTCGAATGTCGCGATCCAACTCTAATTGTTTCGCAATTTGGTAGCCATATTGCTCAACCTCTCTTTCCCTTCGAGT